ATTTTCAGAACATTATTTGTATAAACAGTTACAATTTTTTGTTTTGAAATTGGTTTATATTTGTTCTAAAAAATAATTCTTGATATCATTACAACAAAATTTATTTTGTTATTATCAACAATTATTTAGTAATAATAAATTAATTATTTTTATTTTATAATTTAATAAAAATATTAATAATTAATATATAATAATTATTGAAAAGTATTTACATCATACTAAAATTTACTATTAATAATAATTATTTAATAAAAAAATTAAATCTCGCGTCAACTATAAATAAAATAATTAAAAAATATTATGAATTATTTCTTAAACTTTTAGTAATAATAAAAAAAATATATTAAATATTAATAAAAAAATGCCACAATTTATACACTTTTCTTGACTATTAGAAAAGTTTTTACCAGCATGCAGATTATTAAATGTTTTAACAGCATTACATACAATAATTAATATAAAAATACTGGTAAAAGATTTTGTAACAATTTTTATTATCATTAAAAATCATATTAATGTCACTAAAAGTCCATTTTATTATAATATATTTTTAATTCTTTTTTATGTCATTAAAACTATTTTTTAATTTTTTTTATTGTATGTGGACACTAGGAGGGCAAAGAAATATCTTTTTTAGAAGATATGAAAAAACTCCAATAAGAGAAAATTGGGAAACACAAAGGAATAATGTTTCTAGCTAGAATAGAGTGAAATCAAGTTTTCCAGAAAGAAGAAGAACAAAGGGCCTCAACGAAACAAAATATTATTTGAAGAAAAAAAAAAGGAAACGATACATTCAAGAACGCAACCTTTTCAGAAAAAAGAAAGAAAAAAAAGGTGTAGGGGTAGGAATCGACGTTTCTGGAAACAAGAGGGTTGAATGAAAAAAGAAGTATTTTTAAAAATGAATAAAATAGAAGGATATTAAAATTTATATATACCAAGATATAAATTTAGCTGAAATCACTTTCAGTCGAATTCTTTTTTTTTTTTTTAATTATATTTTTCTATTTATAAAATTTTGAGACTTTACTTGTGGGACCAAATCCAGTAAACTAATTAATAGCTTGGGTTTTATATATATCTGCACTGCCATGACAATAAAAAAATAAAATAAAATTCATCTAGAATGACTGTGTGGAGGAAAAACTCTTTGTCCGACCATACATAACGTGTAACTCACAAGTCAATAGCATCATCATCATGTGCTGATCACATAAAATCACGGTACAATAATTCCACCACAGCACAGTGTTTGTTTCCTATGCCATGCAAAAGAAAAAAAAAGAAGAAGAAGAAAGCTCTGGTTCTGGTAGTAGTAAGCAGAAGATTCATAGCATAAATCCCTTATTTTGGGAATATGTGTCGGTGAAAGAGAGTGTCATATCCTATATACATTGTTCTTGTCTCTTCCCTTTTCACCGATCAATCCCTTGACAAGTGTCATGCAATAATCACACTAAACGTGTTGAGTTGCTAATTCTCCATTTCTCATGACTCATGCTAACCACATGCACCACGTGTCACACTTCTCTCCATAGTACTCTTTCTTATAAAACCTTATTCCCTATGCATACCACATATACACAAAAAAAATGGCACAGAGATTTCCCTTTGTTGTTTCCTGCAAAAGTTTTGTCAAACACCTCCAATCAACCACTTCTAAAGCTGCTATTGTTAGTAGCAATAGCAACATGTTGTGCATCACAAATGCTAATGCTCATGCTCATGTGCATACTCAAGTACAAATTAACCTTCCCTTATGGTTATATAATTAATTGCACATAAGCTAGCACATGATCATTTTTGGCTAATTTCCTAACTAGTATATATGTGCATGCAGGGTGGTGATTCAAATATTGTAGGAGAAGCAAACGAAGGGGAAGTGAAAGAAAGAGAGGTGGTGGAGAATGTGGGAGAGAAGGCTAAGGAAACAGTGGAGACAGCTTTGGATGCAGCAAAGAAGAGTGGAGAATTGGTGAGAGATTCTTCAACAACCATAATGGCTGAGGCTGATACCAATGTTGTCGACACAGTTGAGTACAGATGTACTGAGGGTTTGGGGGGGCAGCTTGGAGATGGCCATGATATATAATATAGTTTTAATTTTATTTCCATGCATGCATGCATGGGAATTATCTATATATCCTATGGTTTTTCCTCTTTTTGTCACTTTAATCTGTTATGGGTCATAGAAGATTGAACGAAGTTAAGTTAGCTAATGTTATATATGCTTCATTATGTTGTTGTATAAATAATCTATAAACATTGTTCACTTTGTTTGGAGATACATAGGAATCCATATTATATAATGTCATTTGAATCATCTCTTGTGAGATTTAAAGCAAACACACCCTAGAAGCACATTCATTTGTTATATATTTTGTTCTCATATTTTTTTTATTCATGAAAATCAAAGTGCTTTTTAAGGAATTTATAACAAAATTATTTTAAGGAATAATAATAATAGTTAGTTTTATTTTATAGAAACGGTGAAAATATAATTTTTATATTGTTTTAGAAATAGTTCCATGTATCAAAAATATATAAATAAAAATTGTATTTTTTTTAATATTAATTTTACAAAATAAAAGTATAGTATCATTATAATTATTTACAAAATAAAAATATAGTATCATTATAATTATTTATAAAATAAAACATTTTTTTTGACACCAATAAAAACATATTTTTATAAAAACAGCAGGTATTTTACTATCAGTTACCTGGGCTTTTCTTTAGACCAGCATATATAGGTGGAAATAAATAAAGCAATGCTTTACCATCTCATTTTCTAATAAAACTTGAATTAAAAAATATATATCATGTCTCTTAAATTCTGGGGGAGATATTTATCTACAACAGTGTAGAACTAGCAACATGGCATGAGTGAGTATATATGGACAAAATTATTAATTCAAAAATCTCTGCATTCACCGTTCTTAATAAATATTGTATAAATACGTTTATCCAAATCTGTTTGACTTTTATTTTTCAATTTTCACAAATTAATGACAAATAATTGATGTGCTTGCCAACATGAGATCTCTAACTCAACTTGTATATCAAACTCAAATTTAGCCTGATTAATGATCTATTTGCACATTAGTTAAAATATTTTGAAGCCTAATTATTAGGCTAAAATTTTAATTTAGTTCCGTATAATATTAAAAAAATTTAATTTGATCTCATTTTAATTTTTTTTTAATTTAATCTTAATTTATTTAAAATATTTTAATGTAGGATTTTTGTCTAAATTTTACAAACACGTTACGTAATTTCAAATCACGGTTACGGCCGTGATTCATACCTGCTGTTAAATCACGCTAGGCACGATCACGCCGCACTGCGCCACCTCGTTTCCAGCCTCGCCAGGCTTAGCGAGGTCGACACCGAGGCTGAATTGCTCGCAGTGGAGCTCAAGTCCGATCAAGTATCCACGCTTATCGACTGTTGGAAGGGAAACGCCTCTCCACCTCGCGATGCGTCTCAGGATTTACGGTTTTCTGTTGAGATTCTCATATGCATCGATGCTGATTGGAGCTTCCAGAACGAAATGGATAAGAACCCTTGGAATCACTCACGGACCTTTAACACTGTTCGTGAAATTTGGACAGAATATTATTTCAATAAATTGAGACTAAATTTTCACGGGCCTTTAACACCGTTTGTGAAATTTGGACAGAAATCTTATATTAAAATATTTTAAATAAATTGGGACTAAATTAAAACAAAAAATTAAAGAGAAATTAAATTAAATTTTTTTAATATTATAAGAGACTAAATTAAAGTTTTAGTCTAATTATTAATATTATATATTTATTTATATATAATATTAAAGATTTTTCATATGTTACATTTTTTGTAATAGGGTTTTTCCAGTTGTCATATTAATTAGTCAAAGACGTTTTTTTTTTACATGAATTGTAAATTTCATTGCATGCGTTTCTCTCACATGTAATATTTAAATTTCTCTCTCTCAATTTTGATGTCATAAAAAATTTCTAACTAATAAAAAAATTAAAATTGAAAGGATAAAAATGCCAAAGGAATAAATATACACACATGATAAATAAATGAAAGTTAATTAGAGAAAATTAAATTAATAAAGTAATAATATGAAACAATTTTAAGAAAATGTGAACGAAAAAAAATTTCAACCTTAAAAATTATATATAATATACTCATAAACAGATATAAATTCTAATAAAAATATCAAACTAAAAAAAATAATTTATATCCTCTATACCAATCATAGTTAAATATATTAAAATTGAACTATATATTGAGCTGGCACTAGAGGCTTGTATTTGAAACTCAATATTATCATAAAAAAAAGAATATATATATATATATATATAAATTTTTAATCTGACGGTTGGATTTTTAAAATTCACAATTAATATAAAGTTATTAAGCGGTTTACACCGGTGTCGTTTGAACCCTCCTCATATATATATATGTTAATCACTAAAGTTGACATGCATAGTGTAATAGGTTTAACTTTTATTATTATAAAAAATATAATAAATATAGTTTTAAATTTGAATCTTAAGTTAAACTTTTGTTACTATTATGAAAAATAGGATAAAGATAAAATTTTAGCTTCGAATTTTAATGTATTATAAAAAAAAATAAAAAGATAGAATTTTAAGTGTCATAAAAATATAATACATTTAGTAAATATGTAGGTTTTTTTAATAAAAAAAAAGATTAATTTTTGAATACTAATTATTGGTTGAGGGATATCTTTATAGTTCAAACAAAAAAGGAAAATAAATATTAGTTAATATCAATATAACAAAATTTATTATTATCGATAATTATTTAACTGTGATAAATTAATTATTTATATTTTATTATCTAATAAAAATATTAATGATTAATATATAATAGTCATTAAAAATGTATTTACATCACACCTAAATTTATTATTAACGATAATTATTTATTGAAAAAAAATTAAGTCCCATATAGACTATAGATAAAATAATTAAAGAGTATGTAAGTATAAAACAACTATCACTTTTATAAGTCTCACATCTTTTAGGAGATAAGATAATTAAAAAAATAAAAAAAAATTCAAGTCTCACATGGACTATAGATAAAATAATTAAAGAATACATAAGTAGAGAGCAATTCTTATTTACAAGTCTCACTCTCACATCTCTTAGGAGATAAGATAAGACAATTAAAAAAATAAGAAAAAAAACTTGAGACTTCAACTATAGATAAAATAATTAATTAAAAAATAAGATAATAGATGACAATTCTTATCTTACAAGTTTCACATCGATTAGAGATAAAATAATTAAATAGTATTATGAATCATTTCTTAAATTTTTAATGACAATGACAAATGCCACAAATTTTTTTTACATTTTTTCGAACCATTATAAGAGTCTTCACCAATATGCAGACGTCGTTAAATATTTTAACGACGTTTCATACAATAACTAATGTTAAAATGGTGATAAAAAATTTTATAGCAATTTTTATTTCTACTAAAAACTATATTAAATATTATTAAATATTTATTTTATTGTAGTGTATATAAAATTAGTAATATATTATTGTGGTGTTGGTTTTTGTTCTTTGTTAGAAGTAAATAATAATATTATTAACTGTAAAAGTGTAAAGGATGAAAATGTTTATAAGAAAACAATTAAAAAACATTAACAAACAAGTTATAGTAATTACTTATGTATCAGTATTTTAGCCTATGCAATATATATGTATTAAATTTTATAATAAATAAATATGTTAATAAATATTATGTTTAAATATATTATATGTAAAATTTATATAAATAGATAATTTTAAATATATAAATTATATTTAAGATTTATAATAAATAATTTATTTTATGGTACAATATTATTTTTATTTATTGATAATTTATTTAAAATATTAGAATTTAATTAATAAATAAAATCAGATAAAAAAGCTATTTTTTTTAAGTCTTCTAATCAATAAAAGTCTTAAAAATAATCTAGAGATTCTTGTTTAATATATAAAAATTGATTAAAATTTATAAATACAAAATCTCTTATTAAAAAAACGTCCCTAAAAATACTCTCATATAAAATAGAAATTCTTATTTAATATATAGATATATTATGTTTGAATATATAAATTATATTTAAAATTAATATACATGTATATTTAATTTATTTATTATTTTTTTAAAATTATTAATATTTAATTTATAAAATAATTATGATAAATAAAAATTGAAGTAGATAAGAAATTAAAAAATTCATACATATCTTTTCATAAAAGAAAATTTTTAAAAATATTCTAATACAAGATAGAACTTTATATTTAACATATAAAGGGTTGATTATTATATGAACGGCTAATATATTTTCATAATATTCCTAATCACTTTGCTCTTACATAATAAATATTTAAAAGAAAAAAAACTCAAAGCTTATGAGATAAGGGAGTAATTAACAAATTGACCGTGCTACATGTATCAATCTGAGTTATCATTTTTACAAATCAATTAACAATTTATGAATTTAACAATTACAAGCTCAATCTCTTTGAACGTAACCAATGAAATCGAAAAAGAAGGTCAACAGATGGTGAAACTGAACTTAGCATGTATGACAGTAAGAGAAAACAAGTCAATTATGAACATATTATAGACGTACTGGATCGATCTTGTCATGAAAATACAAGAGAATCAGATACTGTTGTCGGTTTCTTTGCCAAAAACTATGTATAAAATAAAGGCAAAAGCGACAAAGCATTGATCAGAGAAAAAGAGCCAATGACCAGTTTTCCTGTATCTGTGAACAAGACACAAAGGTAACTTCAATACTTCATCATATCTATGCTACAAAACGCGTTCCGTGAAAACAAGATTTTGATTTTATGCCTTTATTCATAGGTTACCAAAATCTTGGGACCAACAATAAATTCTAAGCTTCTTGCAATGCCTATGCAAGCTGTCTCCCCACTATATCCCTTCTTTACAAAGACAAGCAAGGATGTCACCACAAGTGTTTCTAATTCTTAGTTCTTACTTTTGTCCTTTCGTATACAATTCTTCACAACTGTCCTACACATTGCTAAAGACACCAGAAAAGAAGGACCATTTGTCATGCTATCACAAATGCACACTTCTCTCCCCACCTACACATAACTATGAGATAATCAAATAACTACATGCATAATCATCTAACGTAAAAATTGTTTCAGCTTTATTAATAATATCGAGTTTATAAAATTAGTCTAACTGAACTTTATTGTCCATAATATAGCTAGTATTTCCAAAC